GAGGACAGGGCCCGGGACCCAACTGCTGCTTGTTTTGAAGCCAGTAGGCTTGCCTGCCAGTCGGCCCTTGTAGGGAGGGGTGTCCTGGGTCCTGCCTGCCTGGGCTGTTGTGCACGTGTTGGCATCAGAACAGGAGGGCTGTCTGGCTGCCTGGCTGACCAGTGCCCAGCTTTGTGCCTCCCTCACTGCACAGCCCACTGTCTCCAACCCAGCAGTAAATCCTAGGGATGCACAGAAGGCCCCCAGAGGGGCCTAGGGGTGTGTAGCATTTTCCAGTCTTGAGTCAGTGAGGTGTGTACATGGAGGAGAATGTGCTCTGTGCACAGATAAGTTTTCAGTTACAGGGGGCAGGAGCCTGGGGCTAAGCTGGAAATGGCATTCTGATGCCAGACTCCTTTCAGTTACTCATATCTTTCTTGCAAAATGCTGTTAGGCTTAAGTATATTCTTGCTTGAGGCAGATTTTCTTGGAATGAAGTAAAGGAAGAGGGTGAAACAAAAACTCAAAAACTCTTGGTGGAGTAGTTTTAGATTTATTAGACCATGCAAGACACATGCTTCTCAGTGATTGAGGAATTTTCCAGATGCCCCTGAGCTCACATGCTCACTGCTCTCTCTGTGGGGAGTCTCCTGACTTGGCAGGTATGCTGTACTGAGGAGGATTAAGACTTTTTCATTGCTGAGGTACTTTGCTTATGAAAAGCAGGTAGTAACATCCAGCTAGAAATCCCAGAGCACAGGCTGTTCACCCTTTCCCACAGTCTACCATCCTCCTCACTGAGAGAAAATGCATCCACTTTCTTGGATGAGAGGTTCAGCCAGGACTGGACTGTGGGTTTTGGGGGGCTCAGTGCAATGTGAAAATATGAGGTCCCTTGATCAAATGTTATTTAAAATTTCAAGGCAGTGATAGCAGAGCATTAAACCAAGCATTGGCCTCTTCCAAGTGAGGGGCCTGGCACAGCTGCACAGGTTGCATGCCGACAAAGCTGACCTTGAGCACTGTCTTTCAAACTTTATTCAACAAGGACTCAATGAACATGGTACCTCCTGAAGACTGTGCAGTGGGGCTTGGGGCTGGGGCATAGAGTGCAAAATTGAAAGTTTGCCCACTAGGAATTTGCAATTTAGTTAGGGTTGGATATCACCAACGCAGCTTCCCTCAGCTTCCCTCGTAGCTCAGTTGGTAAAGAATCTGCCTGCAATGCAGGGGACCCAGGTTCGATTCCTGGGTCGGGAAGATCCCCTGGAGAAGGAAGTGGCAACCCACTCCTATATTCTGTCCATGGAGAATCCCATAGACAGAGGAGCCTGGCAGGCTACAGTCCATGGGGTTGTAAGAGTCAGACACGACTTAAGAGACTAAACCACCATCACCAACACAAAATTAAATAATGATGAGATGATTCCTTAAAAACCCAGAAGGCTCCATACCCTCCCAAAGGAAGGAATCCATGAGAGATCTCACCTTGACCCACAGGAACCACTTGTGTTCTGCCTGGAAAGTGAAATGGGGCTATAGAGATGAACCATGCATTCTGTCATCATTTTTACCATACTACTTGGTGAATAGCATATATTTCTTCTCGTGTTATTTTCATTTCAGTTATTGTATTCTTCAACTCTGGTTGTGCTTTTTACTTTCTAATTCTTTGTTAAAAATCATCCTTAACTTCTCATCCTTTCTTTTCTCAAGTTCTTGGATCATCTTTAGAGTCAATGCTCTGAACTCCTTCTTGGTAGATTGCCTGTCTCCACATCACTCATTTGTTCTGTAGGGGATTCCTATGTTTGTATGTATGTGGAAGGTTAGTTATGTGTCTCAACCTTGGAGAAGTGGCCCTCTGTAGGGGATTCCCATGTATCTCAGCCTTACCCTCCCCTCTTGTCACCCTATGGCCAGGGACCAGGAGGTCCCAGGGGAGGTTCTGACCTGTTTGCAGACTCAGTTCCACAGGATGTGTGATTGTATTTTTCTTGCTTTCTGGTGTCTGCCCTCCCAGTGTGTGACTCTGGGCTAGAGGCTTCTGCAGGCTTTCTAGTGGGAGGGTCTGGTGCCTGTCTACTGGTGGGTGGAATGGGTCTTCGCCCTCTGGGGGTCAGGACCATATTTAAAGGTGCTGTGTGCTCAGGAAATCTTTATTTTCAAAATATTTATTTATTTGGCTGCATCAGGTCTTAGTTGCAGTGCCTAGGATCTTCACTGAGTCATATGGGACCACGCAGTGCACAAACTCTGTGTGTGCAGGTGCAGTGGTTGCTCTGAGGCATGTGGGATCTTAATTCCCCAACCAGGGATCCAACCTGCGTCCCTTGCATTGCAAGGTGGATTCTTAACCATTGGACCACCAGAGAAGCCTCTCAGGAAGTCTTTAGGCCACCTGCCTGCTGATGGGTGGGACCATGTGTTCTTACCTTGTTGGTTGTTTGGTGTGAGGTGTCCCAGCACTGGAGCCTAAAAGTATTGGGTGGGGTCAGGTCCCAGTTTTAATATCCCAACAAGATGTCAGCCTTCAGGTGAGTACTCTTAGATATGTTTGCCACCAGCTTTTATGTCCTAAGAGAAAGCCAGAGCCATCTCCTGCCTCCCTGGAAGACCCTCTAAGACCAGCAGGTAGATTTGGGCCAGGCTCCTGTGAAGTCACTACTTTTGTCCTGGGTCCTGGTGTGCATGAGACCTTGTATGCATCCTCCAAGAATGGATCTCGATTTCCCCAAGTCCTGTGGCACTTCTGCTATCAAGCCCCACTGGCCTTCAAGGCCAAATGCTCTGGGGGCTCCGGCTCATCATACCAGACCTCCCAAGCTGGGGAGCCTGCCATGACCTCAGTACTCTATTCTCACTCCTATAGGAGAATTTCTTTGACAAAATAATTCTCCAGATTGTGGGTTGCCCACCTTGGGAATATGGGATTCAATTATATCTCAAGTGTGCCCCTCCTACCATCTTGTAGTGGTTTCTTTGTGTTTGGATGTAGAATATCTTTTTTGGTAGGTTCCAGACTTTTTTTACTGATGGTTGTTCAGCAGTTAGGTGTGACTTTGGTATTTTCATGGGAGGAGGTGAGCTCAAGGTCTTCTATGCTGCCATTTATCCTAACAACATGTATTTCTTATTTCACATTTATTAGACCTGTTTTACCTCTTTCCTGTGACCCTGGAAGTAAACAACTCAGAAACATTCTATTTTCAAAATATCCACACTTAGATAAAGATTGGCCACACTTGGATAAACAGTTGATGGAAAATTTGTTGCACTAAGCCCTTGAGCTCATAATGTCAACCCAGCTCAACTACAAAATCTGAGTTCACAAAGTAACATTCATGGGCATCTTGTACCTGACTGGAGGGGCCCAGCTCCAAGATAATCATTCGTTTGGTCATCTAGCATTCACTGAGCATCTACTTAGGCCAGAGGACAAGATAACAAGACGTGGTCCGTGACCCTAAAAAGTTCACAGTTGAATATTGGAATCAAAGGGGCAATGATCCTTTCATAGAAATAAAAGGACTTTCCTGTGGCTCTGGCTTGACTTCACTAAGAGCTTCTAGAAAGTTGCGTTAAGTGGGAAACCTCCTGACCTCGCTGACCATGATCACAGGGTTCTCCTCGGTGACAGTAGTTTGTTTTTGGTAATTACCTCATGTGTTCTGTGAGAAACCTGACTTCCAGCTACTGCTGTTGCCTTCTCTGGGAACAAACCACACAGGCAGGTGGAGTGAACTGCAGTTACAGTGTGATGGTATCAGTTCTCAAGAGCTGAGTAGAATGTGGTGTGGTCAGCACTCAGAGAGGGTGCCTCCAGGGCTTTCTAAGCACCTTTGTGGGGAGAGTCTGGGTAAATATTTTCATCTCTCTTATCTTATTCTCTATTGGTTTTATTTCCTGTCTTAAATTCAGCTACAGTCCTGAAAACCGAATCTGGCATGTGGTTTTGATGCACAAATAGCTCATTTTGTTCAGGGACATCAGTGATTTGGCTTCAAACAAAGAGAGTTTTGTTGTGTGGGCTGTTGGATTGTTTGGGAAACATCCTGCTCTTGTTCCAGATGGATCTCCATCCAATCCAGTTTAAATCCCATCTTCCTGCCACCAAGGCAAGTTAGAAGAGACTGCAGCCTGGTGTCAGGACCTCGGTTCCCCTGCATCCCACTGCCATTAAACCCCACTGGGGACATTCCTCTTTGCCTTAGAAAACCCTTTGGGTATCCACAATCTCCATCCCCAGCCCAGAGACAGAATTAGCCATGACATGACATACTGTCGGCTCTTAGTTTCTGTGGATGGGAAACCCAAGGTTACGTAGGCTGACTATAAGCACTGTACAACACAATTTTATATAAGGGACTTGAGTATCTCCATTTTAGTAGCCACTGGGGCACCTGGAACCAATCCCCAAGGATACTGGGGGAGGACCACATAGCTTGTACATAGCAGAAATCAGCCTTCTGGTTGTTAACTATGTTTGGCCATTAAGCAGAATATCAGGTCTTTCACTTTTTGATGTGGATGTCTGATTAGAAGGCTATTCTTGACTGAACTGGAAAAAAGACATAAGCATTCTCTGTCATTGTTCCTTTCGGTCTCTGTGAGCTGTGCCAGGACATTTGTGCCTTGACCATGATCCATTTCTAGCCAGGTTCAGTGTGGCCAATGGGCCTAGGCTCCTTGCTGCCTTAGGTCAATGTAAGAGAAGAGGCTGGTCTGTGTCACAGGCACCACTTAATAGAATTCTCTACACTTACCCACCGGCAGCTTATATACACCCAGTTGTACTCACATGCAGTGATGCAAGCCACACATTCCCTCCTGTAAATTCTAGACCACAAAAGGCTGGAGGAAGGACTCAGAGCACCCCCAGAGGACTCCTCAACGTGTGAGGTTCTTGCAGCTGTCGACTGTGACTAAAGACATTGAGGCACAAGCCCAGCCTGAAACAGCGCACTGTTCACCTCTCTCTTCTATCTAGGCCCAACCAGCTCCTTCTCTTCTCTCCACAGATCTCCAGGACTTCAAGTTAGATGTGCAGCACGTGATTGAAGTTGATGAGGGGAACACAGCGGTCATCGCCTGCCACCTTCCTGAGAGCCATCCAAAAGCCCAGGTCCGGTACAGTGTCAAACAGGAGTGGCTGGAGGCCTCCCGGGGTGAGTAAACAAGCAGGAGCCCGGAGGTCAGGGCCAGAAGGGAAGTTGGTGCCTCTACAGTGCCTCCCAAACCCTGTCAATGCCCCACAGCACCCTCCCCTCAGCCATCTACTACCCTAAGATGCAGCTCTGCGGGATTCTGAAGGGCCTCAGAGTGGAGGTCCCCTGAACCTATCACAAGGAATCTCCTCATCCTTTGAGGCCCCACCAGATGTTGCTGAGCTGTTGCCACTGGATCAGAGCTCTCAGCTCAGAGTTCTAGACCCTCCCCACGCCATCTTCCTGCCACCAGGCACGCACCAGAAGACTGCCTGATGAGCCAGATGTTCCTAGAGCTGTGGGCTCCCTGGTGGGAGGCGGGGCTCTTCCCTGCACAGTAGAGCAGTTTCTCTAGTGGGATCTGAGGTTTTCCCTCTCCCTGTCTTCCTGGTGTTGCAGCCATCACAGCTTCCTGCTCAGGCCATGGTGGGCATGACAGCTGGTCCAGGGGAGACCGAGTGTTCATCCACAGAGTGCCCACAGGGCACTTCCTCCCACAGATGACCTGCACTTAAGGCCAAGTAGACCCTATGGCTGGACGCTACACCTCAAATGTATACCTTTTAAAATGTCCTAGAAATTTTTAAATATTTTTGTTAACTTTCTGGTTATGTAAGGAGTATATGTTTACTATAGAAAACACAAAAAAGTATTTTTTAAAAGATCAAAAGTCTAATCCTGCCACTCAGAAATAACCAGAGATTAGAGTATGAATGTCTACTGTCTGTGGCAGTGGCCCCTAGAGGAGGCCTGCCCATCCCACAAGAATCAATGTCTTTTTCCTTCCCATTTGGCATTTGCTTAAGCAGTTCACATCTGGGGCAGCCCAGTGACAGGCAGGCACCAGATTCAACGAGCCAAATTGCAGGGACATCCAGATGACCAAGGGCAGGCCACCAGAAAGCTCAGAGCTGATGACCAGTGCTTTGCCTGTCGGGAAGCCAAACACTATCCTAGTTGCCAGGTGTGCAGATACTATGAATCTGTCCCCTGCGGACAGAGGCTGAACTCAGCCCTGGGACCCCACCCCTGTGACACCTTGATGCGAAAGCAGACAGAGCCTAACAGGCCAGTGATGCAGAGGGAAGGGCTTCCAAGGTATTCATGGAGAGGGCTAGGGTTGGGGATTAGAATATTCCTCCTTGGCTGTAGAAGTTCAGCAGTGACATGGCTCAGAGTTGTGACCATGACAAAGACTGATGGGAAATTCTGAAGGCAATTCCCTCCTTCCTGGTGCCTTGGAGGAATAATCAGCTCATATCCCGTGTATGCAGCACGGCCTCTCAGTCCTAACAAAAGTGTCTGAGGCAGCATACATCACGCCATCTTACAAGTGAAGAAACAGGATTTGAGAGGTTAACCTGCCCAAGATCACACAGTTAGCATATGGCAGATCCCAAATCCTGCTTCCTTTCCGTGCTTCTTGGGCACCCTTGAAAATAAGAATTGTTCCTCCACAGGCCTGCGTACAAACTCAGGGTGGTGGTGGGGTGTCAGCTAGCCAGTTTGTTAGCTGGTTGTGTAATGTCACTCCTGGCACTTCTCTACCACTTGGTGTGAGGTTTCATGGGGAGAGTAGCATTTTCAGTTTGGACTTGTTGGGACTCGGGTCAGCTCCTGGCTTCTGCCCTACCTGCCCTGAACCTTTGTGGGAGCTGCTGGGTGCACTGTTCTGGGCCCACACTCACCCCTTGCCTTGTCCTCTCCTCAGATAACTACCTGATCATGCCATCGGGGAACCTCCAGATCGTGAACGCCAGCCAGGAGGACGAGGGAATGTACAAGTGCGCCGCCTACAACCCGGTGACGCAGGAAGTGAAGACCTCAGGCTCCAGCGACAGGCTGCGCGTGCGCCGTAAGGGGCGGGTCTTGCTGATGGGGGCGGGGGCCGCTGGTGAGACATCCTGGACTCGGGATTCAGCGGCGGTGGGAGGTCTCTCCTTCTGGCCAGCCTCTCTCTGCTCCTGGCCCTCTGGCTTGGTTAGGAGCCAGGGGTGGCCCAGCTCACTGGTCGTGTCAGCGCCCTGTGAGGGACGTCGTCTGACTCCTGCCTGTTGAGAGCTTTCCTCCACTGTGGTACTTTCAGAGGAGGGGGACGGGTTAGGATGTGTGTTTTGCGGCAGGACAAATGACAGGAGCATTTGTGCCTGTGTGAGGCCACCAGACATGCCTTGCACTCCTCTGTCTGCACTGCAGAAGCCCAGCATCTCTCTCTGGGGACAATCCCTAGAGGCCCACGTCACTCTCCATTTCTGTGAGAACAACGGCTGCCTTGGCTGAGCGAGTCCTGTGCGGCAGGCGTTTTTCCAGGTTCCCGTGGTATTCAGTAGAGTGACATCTTATGTGGAATTAGAGTTTAGAATTGGCACCAGTTGCAGATTTACCATGAAACTAATGAAGCAAAACTTAAGTGGGTCCTTTGCTCACCTAATTTTGTGTCTGTAATACTGTATTTTTCTTCAAGAGGGACTCCCAGCTGTGTAAGTTTCAGATCTTAACAAATGCTGGAGCTGCCCTTGGTTGGTGTGTAAAGAAATATCACACTTAGTGTGCTTCTTGTGGGGTTCTGAGAAAGGTCCCGTGTAGGAGAGCAGCACTCCTCTCCATCAGTTCTGTGCAGTTTCTACCTCACATTAAAAAAAAGCTCTCTGCTTCCTCAGCTGAGCAACTGATGAAATACTTGATCGGCTCTGAAAGTGTTTCCCAGGTGCCACTAGTGGTAAAGAACCTGTCTGCCAGTGTAGGAGACATAAGAGATGCAGGTTTCATCCCTGGGTCAGGAAGATCCCCTGGAGGAGAGCATGATAAACCACTCCAGTATTCTTGCCTGGAGAATCCCATGGAATGAGGAGCCTGGCGGGCTATAGTCCATAGGGTTGCAAAGAGTCGGACACGACTAAAGCAACTTAGCACACACACAAACCATAGATTTAAAGATCTATCCCACTCAGCCCAGCAGGATGCTCACCACCAAGCTGTTTGATTCCAATTCCAACCTTCCAGGCTGCCTCCTGGGGTTGGGCTACCCAAAGCAGGGTGGAGGGGATCCTCTGCACCCCATCCTGGTCCCATACATGGTCCTTTCTCTCTTCGACCCTCCAGGCTCCACAGCTGAGGCTGCCCGCATCATCTATCCACCAGAGGCCCAGACCATTGTTGTCACCAAAGGCCAGAGTCTCATCCTGGAGTGTGTGGCCAGCGGGATCCCACCCCCGAGGGTTACCTGGGCCAAGGATGGCTCCAGTGTTGCCAGCTACAACAAGACACGTTTCCTGTTGAGCAACCTCCTCATCGACACCACCAGTGAGGAGGACTCTGGGACCTACTGCTGCATGGCCGACAATGGGGTTGGGGAGCCCGGGGCTGCGGTCATCCTCTATAATGTCCAGGTGTTTGGTAAGTGCCTTCTGCAGACCTTCTTCTCCTTGGCCATCTCTTATCTGCATAGCCTCTCTAGAAGCTCATAATCAAGGTTCAGATAGGGTCACATGCCTTTTGAGAGATCACATGCCGAGTGAGTGAGTGGGGAAGAACTGAGAGGCCTTGGCTCCCAGGGACCAGGATGTAGGGGCTGGCAGTCCTTCCCAGTTGTGACTCTGATGGAGGAGTTGTGGGGCCTTTCCTCTCCTCTACGAGTGTCATGGGGAAGGAGGAAGGTTTTCCCCACAGCAGTCCCCTCCCCAGCCTATCTGGGCCAGGTTGAAGGACTCTGCCTTCCTTATCTCTGCTCTGGTTTCTTGGCAGAACCCCCCGAGGTCACCATGGAGCTGTCTCAGCTGGTCATCCCTTGGGGCCAGAGCGCTAAGCTCACCTGTGAGGTGCGTGGGAACCCCCCGCCCTCTGTGCTGTGGCTGAGGAATGCTCTGCCCCTCACCTCCAGCCAGCGCCTCCGACTATCTCATCGGGCCCTGCGGGTGGTCAGCATGGGGCCCGAGGACGAAGGTGTCTACCAGTGCATGGCCGAGAATGAGGTTGGGAGCGCCCATGCTGTGGTCCAGCTGAAGACCGCCAGGCCAGGTGAGTGCAGTCCAAGGGACTGAGACTCCAGCTGAACATTTACAGAACTTAAAGAAATCCAACTTAAAACCCCTGTGTATACAATAAATAAAAGTGGCTTTAAATATAATATATAAATGGTTCATTTGTACTATTGAAAATCTGCACTTCTGACTTGTTAGTAAGTTAATATAAATTTGAACTTACAACTAATAATGTTAGTTGCTCAGTCGTTGTCACAGAGTCAGGCACGACTGAGCAACTAACACAGTTAAGTTCAAATTTACATTAACTTACTAATAAGTCAGAAGTGCAGATTTTCAGTAGTGCAAATAGCCTATTTAAATACTGTATTAAAAACTTTTAGTTTTCAGAATCTCTTGAGTTCCTAGAGTTCCATAGAACCCAGTTTGACAACCACTGGTCTAACACAAAGCAAAGCATGTCTCTCTTTCTTAGCTTGATTCATTTCAGCTGACATGTACGTAGATCATAATTTTAATAATTGCTCGGCAAAGACCAAGCATCTCCATATAAGTAACAGGTTAGTATGTTTTGGTCTACACAGATTGAACTGCTGTTTGCTCAGCACTGGTCTAGGCAATGTGGGGGATGCAGAGAATGTAATAAACACTCTGCCCTCAAGAACGTTCCTAGGAAGGAAATAAAACTTATCAAAGAATCAACTGGAGAAAAATACAACCAGGAATAACGCTGAGTCAGGAGTCAACCTCCTGTGGTGCAGAAGGTCAGGTAATAAAAACTGTCGTGGTCTGGGTGCAGGGTGGAAAAGAATTTCTGGACTTGAGGCAGAAATAGAGGAGACTAAAGTTTACTAGAGTGGGAGATGCTGTTAGAACAGTGGGCCAGCTCAAGGGAGAGCCGAACCCTTTCACAGGCTAGTAGTCAACTTTTATAGCCTCAAGACAGAGAAAATTCCTACTGCAATGGTGGCATTAAGTGATTGGTTAGGATGCTATAGGATGGATAATAGGGTGGGTATTTTACCTAATATGGGGTCAGGGAACTGGCAGGTTTAGATCCAGAGACCCATGGCAACAGTTGCTATGGAGCTTGGTCAGTTCCAGAGATTTTTATCTTGTCAACTTGGTACAGGGCTTCACACCTGTGATCTTGGTATAGGGCTCCACAGAAACTAGTGTTGGCAGAGTCCATGGACCCTTCCTGAAGGGAGTGAGGCCCCTCCTACTTCTGAGAGTCTCAGACACATATCCATTCACAGCTCACATCTCCAGGTCCCCACAGTGGAGCAGGAAGAGGACCACACTGTGCCATGGTACAGATCCCACAGTGAGAGGGGGCCACATCCACATAGCAACCCCCCCACACACACAAACACTCACAGATATGAGAAAGAGGGCTCCCAGCACCTTGAGAGCAAATTGAGATAGTTCACTTAAGACACACTTGAATGGAGGAAAACAGGCTGGTGGCAGGAAGCCTGGGAGGGGCCCTCAGGCTGCCTTTCCACCCTGGCAGGGCAGGGTCACAGCCTTCCGTCCCCACAGAGCCTGGCAGAATATTGAGGGGACTGATGTCACCTCAGGTACCCAGCCCAGGGCTCTTCTTGCCCTGCAGCTCTCCCTCTGACTTATCTCCCTGTTTTCTCTGTGGGGGGACGGCTGAGCAAGCGGCCAGGGGACTAACTGCTTGTCCCTACCTTCTCCCTCCTGCTCGTCCTCCAGGCGCCACCCTGAGACCGTGGTGGGATACTCAGTCGGCCACTGTCACACCTCCAGTGCCACCCTCCAGACCTGGCGGCCCTGACCAGATGCCCAAGGGCCACCCAGGGCTATTGAGGCCCCCAGCATCAGCGCAGCCAGCCTCCCCACAGTGTCCCAGGGGTCAGGGGCCAGTGGCCCCTGCCGAGGCTCCCATCATCCTCAGCTTGCCCCGCACGTCCAAGACTGACTCATACGAACTGGTGTGGCGGCCTCGGCATGAGGGCAGCAGCCGGGCACCGGTCCTCTACTACGTAGTGAAACACCGCAAGGTATGACATCTGGTGTTGTGGCCACCTCATTGTGAGGCTGGCTGGGGTATCTGCACCCTGTCCATCTCCCATTGAATTCCTAAAGCCTACAGGTGGTCTCCAAGGCTGATTACGACCTTCTGTGCCCTCCAGTGTACTTTTCTACCACCTCTCGGGAAGCTGGCTGTGAGTTGGGTGTTGGGGCCCTATGACGCTCAGGAAAAAGCCATGGGTGTGCCTCTAGGTCTCAGGCCCGCCAACCAGCTTCCAGTCCCAAGGAGAGTTCATAGACTTCCTGTTAACCAACCCCCTCCTCTCTGCCATTTGTTGTTGATGTTTTATTGTTTAATCTTAGTAAGCTCTGCTGGGTACATACCTGCAGGAACTCTGGTGTGGCAAGCTAGCTTTAGAGCCAGGAAAAAAAATATTTGTGAACAAGTGTTTTCTCTGAGGGCTACAAAATGCTGCCTCAGTTCTTAGGACTCCTCACGACTCAGGTTTGGCAAGCCGGCATTTGAGCTAAAAAAAAATTGTGTTGTTCAGACCTCAGCTATTTCTCGTTGACAGAAGGAAGTCTGTCCAGGTGGATGTTTTGGGGGCTGTCAGGGAATCTCTGGGTCTGATGGGATCAGAGACAGAACTGGGCCCACCTGTCCTCTTAAACACTGTGCCCTCTGAGACAGGACGGGGCCCCCAGGCTGCCACCCTCGTTCAGGGCTTAAACTCTCACCTGCGGCTCCCAGGGAAGAAGGACATTTCCTCTAAGAAAATATCCTGGGAAACATTTCTGTTTATCCCCGGTGCATGCTGTTTTCTTCCTAAGACCATTGAAAAGTGTGAAAGTATTAGTCCCTCAGTCAAGTCTGACTCTTTGCAACCCCATGGACTATAGCCCACCAGACTCCTCTGTCTGTAGGATTTCCCCTGCAAGAATACTGGAGCAGGTTGCCATTTCCTTCTCCAAGGGATCTTCCTGACCCAGGGATCAAACCCGGGTCTCCTGCATTGCAGGTGGATTCTTTACCATCTGAACCACCAGGGAGGCCCAAGGCCATTAGACAGTAGAAAACTATTGTTCTTAAATGGTTTTAAAAAATTTTTTTTGATAAGCAATACTTTCCTGGTGGCTCACACAGTAAAGTGTCTGCCTGCAGTGTGGGAGACCAGGGTTCGATCCCTGAGTTGGGAAGATCCCCTGGAGAAGGAGATGGCAACCCACTCCAGTACTCTTGCCTGGAAAAGTCCATGGACTGAGGAGCCTGGTAGGCTACAGTCCATGGGGTCGCAAAGAGTCTGAGACAACTGAGTGACTTCACTTTCACTTTCTAATGTATCATAAATGCTAGATTTTATTATGCATTTATTTGTTTATAAAAGTGCTAGTTGCACTTGGTAGAAAACATGGAAGATATATGACTGTAACATATATCTTCTTGAAAACTGAAAACATTTATCAACTTTCCTCCCTCTCCAAAACCAAAGCAAGCCAGCTTTGCCCAGGGAACAGTGCAGGCTCTGCAGAATCTGGGCCGCTGCTCTGGGCCCTGGCAGCCCGTCGCTCTCTTCTCACCCTTTCCATGCTCTCTTGGAGACCTCTGGTCAGGACCCATCCACAGAGGCACCTGTGGCCAAGCTGCCTCCTAGGTGGGGGTGAGAGGGAGCAGTTTCTCATTAACCCTTGGCCTGCTGGCCTCATAGGCAGCTAGCAGAGGGGGTGGATGAGTTTTTAACAGAAAGCAGTATTGTTGAGCCCAGGTTATGGTCCTAATCGTTATTTCCCCATGTAACTGGACACCTCTGTAGTAGAGTTTGAGACAAAGATCAGGGCAGGCCAAATGTTCATGGTCCCCAGGAGACAAGAACCAGCATGAGAGCAAGAATAATATTTTTCGGGCCAGTAGGTGGCTGTAAAACTGCCTCCCCAAGAGGCAGGCTGGCAGAGGCCACACGAGGTGATCCGGAAACATCAGGCTGAGGCTGCATTCACCCTCTCAGTGTGCGTGACAGTGACTAATTGCCATTCCATTTCTTATTTTCATTTCTGAGCCCAGTGAAGTGAAGCCAGCACTGGGAAGCCGAGGGAGAAGGGGCGCAGGGGAAGTGAGAGGACAGGGCCCTGCTGGGGCTGGCTTCTGTGGGGATCTGGCCTGTGGGGCACTTGGAACTGTTAGGTGGACATTGCCAAGGCACAGTTATGTTTTGAAAGCAGTTTCATTCTTGAGGGACTAACTTGTCATAAAGATCATCACACAGGAAAGGACTTTGAAAGCAAAAATCAGCCTTTGGGTTGTGTTTCTTCAGCCCCCCTCTCTTGCTGGAGCCTGGGAGTCATTCATCTCATTTTCACTTTTTCACATGCATGAAGCCAGTTTTCATTTCCTGGTGCATCTGCAGACCCTGGGCTACTGTGTTTGGCTTTCCAGCACCACTGGGGATTCTCAGTTTGTAAAAACTTCTCCCCTTGGAACAAATCCTGGAAGGCTGACATGAATGAGCCCAGACCATCCCTGGCCTTTGAATAGTAGGTTTTGTTCTACTTTGGAATATTCTGCTTGGGGATAAGAGCTTTTCCTACCAGCTGTTTAATTCCTTCAGCAGAATAGAGCTTCAGGCCCCAGCAGGCTCTTGGAGATGTGCACAGTTGGCAGGAAGGCTGTGTCCTCAAAGGTGGGGTGGGGGAGGGGGAAACAGCCTCTCTGCAACGCCTGTCCGGAAGTCTGGAGCTCCTTGATTTTTTACTTTACAGAGCTAGGAAATTGACGCCATTAAAGAGTAATCTGTGATGGTTATGGTTCATCCGTGGTTTTTAAATTCTAATCTAGGCAGGAGTAGAAAAAAAGAGGGTTGAAATCCTCACTTGAGGGAGGAAGGGGAGGGCAAGTACTTGTTAAGAACCTACTGTGTGCCAGCTTCAGTGAGTCATCGGGTTTAATCTTCAGAATAGGCTGAGAGATTTAACTTGCTTCATTTTGGGAAGATTAGGGAAGTTGCTCAGGGTTTCACCCAGCTGGTAATCTGTGTGTGGTAAGAGACACAGCTCGGATATGAACTCAGGACTTTCTAGCTCCCAGACTGACTTTCTAGGGTAGGTGACATTTATGAGCTTATTTTCTGGAGTCAAGCCAGGATTTCTGTACTCACTAGTGATATGGTCTTAGGCAAGTCACTTGTCCCTCTAAGCCTTAGCCTCCCTACTTGTGAGATGGGAACAGTATTAACACCCATCTCTTGGACTGCTGTCATGGAAATGCTTTATGGTGCATGTAACATGCTTTATGGTGCATGTAACTATATGTTGTAGCACATAGAAGTTAGTGTTAGTCACTCAGTCATTTCTGACTCTCTGCAACCTGATCATAGCCCACCAGGCTTCTCTGTCCATGGGGATTCTTCAGGCAAGAATACCAGAGTGGGTTGCCATTACCTTCTCCAGGGGATTGTTCCAATCCAAGGACTGAACACAGGTTTCCCACATTGCAGGCAGATTCTTTCCCATCTGAGCCACCAGGGAAGCCCCAGCACATCCAAGCACTCAACGAATGTGGCCGTTTTCACTTGTTCTATTTTTATTATTCTCATTGTCATCTCATTAGAATATGAGGATACTGTTTGGTTTCAACAGATCAAGGAGAAAGAAGTTAAATAGGGATGTTTTTAGAAAGGGGGAGAGGCCTTTGGAGAAACTCTAAGTAATGTCAGTCAGGCATTTTGCCCCTCCCCACTGAGTTTTCTTTCATGAGATCGTTAAGATGAGGGATCTGGAAGCCTGGCTTTCCTGGCCCAGCAAGGGCGATGTCCTGGGCTAGCAGGACCAGTCCGCCTTCTGTAGGGCCAATCTCCCTGCCAACCTGGCCCATCTCTGTTCCTTTCTTCTGCCCTCTTGGGCTCAACTCTGCTTTCCTTGTAAACCACAGCCGCTTGTAGTTCCATGCAAGAGGCTGGTCCTTATACCAGCCACCTTCTCTAGCAGGTCACCAACTCCTCTGATGACTGGACCATCTCTGGCATTCCGGCCAGCCAACACCGCCTGACCCTCACCAGACTAGACCCTGGGAGCTTGTATGAGGTGGAGATGGCGGCCTACAACTGTGCAGGCGAAGGCCAGACGGCCATGGTCACCTTCCGAACTGGTAAGGGTCCAGTGTTCCCCTAGCTTAGGGTCTCCGTGAGCCTGAGTAGTCCTACAAGGTCAGGTGGAAGCCCTGTTCACTTTGCTCCAGCTGTTTACCTTGAACTTTATCTTCCTTCTGGCTTCTGCTTTCCTGTGGTCCATGTGCCCTACCAAGGCTGTGGTTCCACCTCCTGTCAGGAGAGGCACCAGCTGGCCTCTGGCATTCCTTTGCCCTCTTTGCACTTGGGACCACATGCAATTCCATGCCCATCAGATGGAGCTGAAAATCAGACCACACTTCTAATGCCCTCTGTTATTTGCATGGTCTTGTCAGACACCCTGGTAGAACTTCAGGCAGAAAAGACTATGGAAGGAGAGACCTAACGCACATTCTCTCTTGTGCTGATCTCAACCCATTTCTACCCAGGACGACGGCCCAAACCTGAAATTGTGGCCAGCAAGGAGCAGCAGATCCAGAGAGATGACCCTGGAGCTGGCCCCCAGAGCAGCAGCCAGCTGGACCATGGCCGCCTGTCCCGTAAGTCCCCAACAGCCCCGAGGGTGGGGTCGGCAAGCATCAGAATGGGACCCAGGCCCACTGCCTCGGAAGGCTCACTGCTGCAGTGAATGGGGCCTGGGAATCCTTGTGGCCTACTCCTGGCCTCTTCCCGGTTGACCACAGGAAGAGATAATGGATTGGAACTTTTCAAGAGCTCCTCCCTAGACAGTGACCCAGGGAGCCCTGGGATATGATACAGCCAGCAGGGATGCAGGGCTGTGGAGTGGGGCTGGCTCCCTTCCCACCAGGGTGGAGGGCTATGGGGTGGGGCTGGCTCCCATCAGGAACAGGCCAAGTCTAATCACATTACCACCACCATCTCATGACTTCTTCCCTCCCGCTTCCTTCCTGCCACATGGATGGTCTCCAGCCCCAGAAGCTCCAGACAGGCCCACTATCTCCATGGCTTCTGAGACTTCAGTGTACGTGACCTGGATTCCCCGTGGGAACGGTGGCTTCCCCATCCAATCCTTCCTTGTGGAGTACAAGAAGCTGAAGAAAGTGGGGGACTGGATTCTAGCCACCAGCGCCATCCCTCCCTCCCGGCTCTCAGTGGAGATCACAGGCCTAGAGAAAGGTAGGGCCCTGGCCAACTGCCCTTCCTGGTCCCCTGGTGGCCAGCAGCTCCCTGGAGGAGAAGGAAAGCTTTGGAGGGTCTTCTCTCTGCTTGTCCCCCACCCACCTCCAGGCTCTCGTGGCCATTCTTGGTCATGTTACCTCAGCCCCGCAAGCCGCTACTTCTGCCTCCCTCTCTCCATGAATAGTCCCAAACCACCTCCTGGCTCTTTTCTGATGAGGGTGGGAGTCCTGGAGTCCTTTAAGGCTTGCTTTTGGGGAAAGATGCCCAGAAGATCCCTCTAGGTCCTCAGCCTGCATGGGCTGAGCAGGAGGCAGGTGGTGTCTCCTGGCCCCTGGTTCAGGGAGTCTCTCTCCCCAGGCACCTCCTACAAGTTCCGAGTCCGGGCTCTGAACATGCTGGGGGAGAGCGAGCCCAGCACCCCCTCCCGGCCCTACGTGGTGTCAGGCTACAGCAGCCGAGTGTACGAGAGGCCTGTGGCAGGCCCTTACATCACCTTCACTGATGCCGTCAATGAGACCACCATCATGCTCAAGTGGATGGTGAGTGGTCTGGTGCAGCTACCAGCGGAGTGACAAAACCAAGCTCCATGCTGGACAGAAGTGGACAGCAGTGCGGGCAGGAAGGAATCACCTTTCTCCCTTGGCTCATCCTAAGCTACCTCCCCTTAGGTGTTCCTGGAAATTGGCCAGAGAGGCTCACCCTTACAATACCCAGGAAGTTTCAGAGGTAACTCTGAAGAAATGGTAGTTTGTTTCTCTAAAAGCTGGGGACTCCTAGGCTACGTAAGATAATGAGTAATCTCTATGTCATTGTCCAGAGAGCCTAGAGATCATAAGAAATGTCTGTCTGGGTCCCCAGTGAATTTTAAACTCTAGGCTGGGTAATTTTTCCATCCACCAGTGGTTCTGCTCACATGATGATTTCTCTGCTCATTGTCAACTTGTTTTTTTTATTCCCTGCAGTATATCCCATCAAGTAACAACAACACCCCAATCCACGGCTTTTATATCTATTACCGACCCACAGACAGTGACAACGACAGTGACTACAAGAAGGATATGGTGGAAGGTGAGAAACCCTTGTGAGGTTTTTCCCGTGTGAGGTAGTTTCCCCTAATTGTCAGGGGAGTCAGAAGCTGGTGAAAGGAGAAAACCTGGGCTAGCATGCCCTGTAGTGTTGGCTCTTTCATGATGTACTTGAGGTCATTGGGTTCATAGGCCTACATGCTTCCTTCCCAGGGTGATGGGACAACAGGATACCATGGGCCAGCATCCAGAACATCACCTCCAGTGGGGACTGAGCAAACACATTCATGATCACCACATCTGACTCTCTCGGTCTCTCCCCCAGGGGATCGATACTGGCATTCCATCAGCCACCTACAGCCAGAGACCTCCTATGACATTAAGATGCAGTGCTTCAATGAAGGAGGGGAGAGTGAGTTCAGCAACGTGATGATATGTGAAACCAAAGGTGAGTCTCTTCGGGTTTGCCACTCTCCTCTCGCTCTTCCCAGCAGGCTGGGCAAAGCCATTTCTGTATGTGCTGGGTTTCTCTTCTCTGGAATGACTCCTTATCTTCCAAGTATCCCCCAACTTTGCCACTTTAACCCATCTGTTCATTGGGCTGTGCCTCTTATCAAGTACAAATGGGGATGCCATCATAACAGTTTCATGGAACTTGGGATTTAAGTCATACGTGATCTCATGGACTAGAACCCAGTCTTGAGAGCTTTCTATAAACACTTTATTCCTATGATAACATCTGGTACTTGCACTAGTTGGTTTACTTAAACTACAACCCCATGAGAGAAACCGGGCATTAGGACATGTTATACCTTGACCAAGGTCACACAGCTAGTTAGTGGTGGAGCACGCTGTGGGCCAAGTTCATCTAACTACAAGGCCAGACTCTCTCCCTGCACTGAAACATGTTAAACATAGTCATAAAATAACAATTTTTGCACTTGGTCAGTGGATAGATATTTCCATTTTGCAAACACTGAAAGGTAGATTGCAAGAAAACAATCTGGAGAAGATAGATCTGGAGGATAGAGACAAGGAAACAGTCCATTTTCCTGTGACGTCAGCTCTCTCTCTCTCTCCTGTGTGCCCTTCCTGCCCTTGTCTGTCTCATGCAGAGAAGTGAGGGGTGCACACACAGCCAGCAGTCCCCTGTCAGGTGACACAAAGTGCCCAGGGCAGAGAACAGAGCCCTTACATGGGCTTTGCAAGGGTCTTCTGGAAGAACTGAGCCTTCAGCCAGGTGGAGGGAGCCACCTGGGAACAGGACAAGCCTGCACGTACCTCCACCTGGTGGGAGTGTGTGGCACTGGAAGCGAGAGGTGTCAGCGCTCAGAGAAGAGGCCAGGGACATTGGGAGGCAGTGGGATCATCAAGGACCCCATGGGCTGTGAGGTGGAGAAGGGTCATCGTTGGATTTGTCAGGAAGGTGACTGTGCAGAACTGAGGGGCGAGAACTGGGGCCGGGAAGCAAAGGTGAAAAGAAGGAGAGTGGGTGTGAGTTTCTTTCCTGAGGATGTATAGGGAGGACCAGGGACGTGGTGCATTGAGGCTTAGAGAGAGCAAAAGGAGTTCAGGGTAAACTTGAGGTTTTGAGCTGAGGTGGCACTCAGGTGGTGGTGCCATTTATCGAGATGGGAAGACCAGCAGAGAACCCCATCCTGGGCAGAAGGAGTGAAGTGAACCACTTGGAGATGCACTGAGTCTGGCTCTTCTGAGACACTGGAATGCAGGTGTCCTGTGAGGGAGCAGGTCTCCTGCCTAGGCAGGGCCCTGTGTGAGGGTATTTGGCAGTCATCAGGATATAGGCTGAAATCGTGGGAACAGAATAGAGTGAAGAAGAGAGAGTGTAGACTGAGAGGGACCAGGAGGACTTCTTGGTGTCTGAAGCAAAGACAGGAAGAAAAAGGCAAGGAGAGAGTAATACAAGCAACAGCAGCATTCAGAGAGGTTGTGGGAAACCCCAGAGGACTGTTGTATTAGAAACTCAGGGAAAAGACAGCTGGGAAAAGGAGTTGACGTCAGACACACCCTGATGAGAGCACAAGGATGAGGAGGTGCCACCTCATGGACTTTGGATTGGTGTTTCCCAAGCACTGTCGGTCCTAGGGAGCCCAAACCCCATGTCCCAGCTCAGACCCAGGACTTTGCATCTCCAGTGTACCCAGGAATAGCAGCTTCACATGGAAGTTCTTCCATTTTCAGTTCTTTTTGGTTTCATGCATTTTTTAATATGCTCTTCCTAAAGATCCCCAGCTATTTGTTTAGAAAGTCCCTATATCAGTTCTTCCCCAAAGACCCAGCCTGACCCTAGCTATTGATCCATAAACATTTCAGGATGTATTTTGAAATATAAGGGTCAAGTTTCTTCAGCCACACCCAGTTTCACATTAGATGTCTGTTTCATTCTGAGCTTGGACACCACACTCCTTTGCCAGAGGCACTGCCTTATGAGTTTGACCCCATTTCTCACACCCGTGGAATCAGGGTATTGTCCTATTTGTCGTGAAAGCAATGTCAAAGAAATAGAGGCTGATGTGAGTTTTGTCCCCATTACAGCTCGGAAGTCTTCAGGTCAGCCTGGTCGACTTCCACCCCCAACTCTGGCCCCACCTCAGCCACCACCCCCTGAAACCATAGAGCGGCCAGTGGGCACGGGGGCCATGGTGGCCCGCTCCAGTGACCTGCCCTACCTGATTGTTGGGGTCGTCCTGGGCTCTATCGTCCTCATCATCGTTGCCTTCATCCCCTTCTGCTTGTGGAGGGCCTGGTCTAAGCAAAGTGAGTGAGTGACCCTCCTCAGCACCAAGGGGGAGGAGCCCGGGGCAGGGAGAGAGGAGGGGCCTTCCATCCCCCACGGAGGCCTCTGCCTGGATCCCAGGGGGCTGGATCCCCGGCACCCTGCTTCACACTGATGGGAGCTCAGGTTCCTGGTGGGTCCTCCAGAGGGATGGGAGAGAGTCAGAAGATGCTCACAGGTCTTGGAAGGTAGGGGATAGAATGGGAGTTTGTCTGTCCTCGCTGCATCCCTGGAGCTCAGCACTTACCTAGGTCTGTCTCCTTTTACTATCTGAAGCTGCCGATTGACCACACGTTGACCCTACTTCTTCCTGCCTCCTCAGGTCTGCGGCTGCCTTGAGCTGTCCCCCTAATCCTCGGTTAATCTGAGTTATCCACTGAGTTCTGCTTCACATGGCAACACATCTGGTCACCTTGCTTCATTTAAATATTGCGCTCCTTCTGTTCACTTACCACTTTGTTCTCCCAGACCTTGGTCCTATATCTCCTCTCCTACTGCAAAAAAAAAAAAAAAAAAGTCTAGCTGTGAGGAAGTGGGTGACAGGAAGAATTTTCCGAGAGAATATTCTCTCACCTGGGGCAGAGTCAATTCCCTGCCTACCTCATTTGACCTTAAGTCCTCAGGAGTTTTCTGAGATTCATATGGGACTTTTTTTACCAGCTTCCCCAGGCCTCCTTGACCTAAACATAGCTCTGTCTTGTGTTCTTCCAGAGCATACAACAGACCTGGGATTTCCTCGAAGTGCCCTTCTGTCCTCCTCTTGCCAATATACTATGGTACCACTGGGAGGGCTCCCAGGCCACCGAGCCAGTGGGCAGTCTTACCTCAGTGGCACCAACGGCCAGGCCTGTGCCAATGGGGTATACGTGAACAGGGCCTGCCCTGTAGCTGCCGTGGGCTACCCAGGCATGAAGCCACAGCAGCACTGTCCAGGGGAGCTTCAGCAGGTAACGTGGCTCTGGGAGCAGTGTGGGCACACAGGTATGGGGTGCCACAGAGGGGTGGTTGGGCCACCTCCTGGGACTTCTTCCCTCCCAGGCTCAATCCTGGGCTGCTGAACAAAGAACGGGAAAGTTCCCTGGACTCTGATGTGACCTTCTCATCACCCTTTGAGCAGCAGGAGGATGTGAACAGCATGCTGAGGCAGACCTTTCTTGGCAGTGGATTCGACCCCCACAGTCCACAGATTCCCAGGTACCCCGGCCTCCCACTCCTGAGCCCCAGAGCTCACTTTCTCCCTGGCTTCCCAGACCTGACATCAGTCACTGAGAGGGGAGCCCTATTGTGCCCCTCAGGGATCCTCTTGTGACAGCCTGCTCCACTGGACTCTGAGCCTGAGGGGGAGTTGTTGTTTTTGTAATTATGATGCCTTTTCTGCTCAGAAATTCTCCCCTTGCTTGTCAGTCCAGAGCAGCGCCACACAGCTGGCTATATCCACAGGCACCTGACTCCACATCCTCTCACATACTTGGGACATACATGGAATCAAATGGATATTGACTAGACTTGCCCATGCAAGTGATGATGTGGCACTCTTGATGTCCAGAGGGGAGCAGCCCCTGCCCCGTCTGAGCTCTGCCTAGCTCTGGTGCCCACAGACAGGGAAGCAGCCAGGAATGTGGGATCCAGGCCCACTCTTCCCCTGCCTCAATCCTCCCCCCATCTGCTTATGTGCATGCAGAGCACCCAGGTCTAACCCGGATGAGGGCGCTTTCCTGTATACACTGCCCGATGACTCAGCTCACCAGCTGCTCCCGCCACACCGCGATTGCCACCACCTCCAGGAGCAGCCTGAAGCCACGGGCCAGCCAGGCATGAGGAGTGTACCCCAGAGTCCTGGGCTGGAAGCCATGTGGGACCCTGTTTTTCACCCAGGTCAGTGCCAAGGGCAGAGCAGAATAAGATAGACATCCATGCCCCGGGAGTGACATGGAGGCAGGGAGAGAACAGTGATGCTTGAGGGTAATGCTTGGTAAAGACCATCCACAGCTTGTATATCCAGGATGGGGGTGTGAAGGGGAGCTGGCTGCCCTTCCCTGCTGAAGGCCCAGCAGATCTGCAGGATGGTGTCAGGTTCAAGCTGACAGAGACGGAGAAAGGGTACTTCTCCATTTCAGAGAAATAAACCTTTGTGGTCTCAGCATTTCAAGGCAATTTGCAAATTCCTGCTGCTCCTCTCATCAAACCAAGGGGCACTTTCTCATCACTCTGCAACACCTTGCTTTGCTGGGTCCTATGTCTTTATTAAGGAATGAGGTTGCACCCATCATTAAGAAGCCAAGTTCTCACATCATAGAACTTTGTGCTTCCACCAGACTTTCCCTCCAGGGGACTCAATGCACAGCGCCCCTGAGCCCAGCCACTGGCTTTATTTGTGCCCATCTTTTTGATACCTGGTTGGGCACAGGCTGGTTCAGAGAATGAGCTGATGTTTCTTAGCCTTCATGGAGTGGATGCTAGGTCACATGCAGATCCTAGACTCTGGCTCTGGGAGATAAATTCCAATATAGGCACCTCCGAGACGCAGACCCCATTAGCATCCACACTGGCCTCCCTCCATCTGGGGGGTGAGTTGTGAGTGGGACAATCATGGCCAGAAAGCATGGGGAGACTGGACCGGCAGCCCACACATGAAAAGAGTAGGATTGTCTTGCACAGTTCCTGGGCTCAGCCCACCTCATTTCCACCCCCAGTTACAGGGTAAATGCAGGAGGGTCTCCCGCTTCCACCACTGAAAAGTGCAGGTGGGACAGTGGGTAAGAAGTGGACCATGCCAGGTCTGTGACTGTCCTTAGAGGGAGTGCAGCTGTTCTTGTGTATTGATAGCTATGGGTCTCTGTGTCTCCTCTAAGGCCAGTGTAGCCAGCTCCTGTTCCAGAGAGTGAGCACTATTCCTGGTCAGTCTGGACCCTAACGTTTCCCACTTCTCTCCCACCTCAGGACCCCCATGCTGCCTGGGCCTCGTGCCGGTTGAAGAGGTGGACAGTCCCGACTCCTGCCCCGTGGGGAAAGGAGACTGGTGTCCCCAGCACCCCTCAGGGGCCTATGCTGGGCAGGAACTCGGGGTGCGGCTCTCCCCCAGCCCACCAGTGCATATGTCTTTTGAAACACCACCTCCTACAATTTAGGCAGAAGCTGATATCCCACAAAGACTATATATTATTTTTTTTAAAGAGAGGAGATTGGTATTTATTTTTCTATAATAGCCGTATTTATATATTTATGCACTTGTAAATAAATGTATATGTTTTCATAATTCTGGAGAGACACAGCAAGTCCTCCCCACTGAGGTCTGAGATGGAAAACAAGCCACAGCATAACAGGCATCAACAGGCGAAGAGCAACACAGTCTGAGGAGGCAACATTCCCCTTGGACCCTGTGCCACTGCCCAGGGAGGGCTGCAGCAGACCCACAGAAAAGCCTGTGGCAGGAGGACTCTAGGCACACCATCCACAGTGACCATGAGAGAAGCAGAGCCAGAGCCATGGCATCAGAGCTGGAGCCACCGTGACAGTGGCTGGATCTGGTGCTGCTGGCAACGTTTTCCCGAGATGCCTGTGAGATAGACTGAGATGTGTATAGTACTGTGAGCATTAGCAAACCTTCCAGAAGCAATAATCTGTGACAACATATCTCTGTAAAAATAAACACTGTAACATCTAAATAAATGTTTAGTCTTCCCTATAACCTTCAGCTTAGTCATGTATGAGTCAGCATTCTCTTCAGATGTTAGGATTCAGTGAGTATTTGAAGAAACATCCACTTGGCAACATTTTCAGATCCGTCAAGGAGAGATCTGGAAAAGGCAGCAAACATTTCTGATTTTGTCCTTTTAAATGTCGAATGTCAGTTGTGTTTTCATCAATGCAGGTGTGTGGTAACTGTTTGTCCAAAAGGGAGGTGGGGTACTCTGGGGCGAGGAGAAGCCGATTCACTGTTCTCTGACTGGACTTGAGGTAAAGCTTTGGGCAGCTTGAAGGAATGAGACTCATCTTTTCTCTGCAGGTGTGTGTTGACTAAGTGTTTTCTCTAAAATACCATTTAGTGAAGTTCTGTGCTACACCTGAATATACGGTGCCTGGTAAAATTCACTTCCCTTTTTCCCAAAGACACACCAACGTAGCCGGAGGACTTGACTCACTAGTTGTTTAAAATGAACATTTACTCACTGCCCTCCAACCGCAGGATCAACCTTTCTATGTACAAGTGGTAAAATGGAGGCCAAAGCTTTTTGCTGAGAGCCCTAACACACTTTTAACTGTTTTCAGGAGGGAAATGTATCTTCTAGATTTCAGTAGAATTGAGTTACAGATGAAATGCCAGTTGAGACACTTAATCCCGTTAAGAGTCATCAATGGTAGACTTTAGCTTCACACTCTAGTCACGAATTGGATAAACAAAATCCTAGGAAAGCCCCAGGAGTGACTTTGATGGTTCTGGACAAGTGCACCCTCTGCTGACAAGAAGAGGTTCTTGCAGCCTTTCTCTATCCAGCAGCTAAATTGGAACATGGTTTTTAGAAAAGCAGTATTTTTAAAATATTTTAAGAAATGAAATGAAGGACTATAAGGAATATGGAAATTATAGGAAAGGAGAAAAAGAGCAGGGAAGAGAAGACTTCAGACAAGATTGAAGAAGCAGGGAAGATTCGGACTTTAGGCAGGATTGTGACTTCAGATAAAATCTGGCATGGAAGGCCTAGAGGAGGAGGGGGACAGGCCTCACCTCTCAGATCTGGGCTGTAACTCACCTAGCCCACTGGCTTTTTAAAATCTTTTTTTTTTTTTTATTCTTACTGATCTCAATGGTTGTCAAAGTAAGTTTTGGTGAATGCTATGCATGGAAGTGGTATGTTCCAATGCTGTGCAGAAAGTAGTTTTAAATAACAACACTGAATGCTTTTACCCCCCCCCCCCCCCCCAGAAAAGTCCTGGGAAAGAAAAGGCACTTCTAAGGCAGGTTAAACAAGATAAATGTGCATATTTAGCCAATTGCAGGAAAAGATTAGGGTACCAGGCCTTTACATTTTAACCTAGAAAAAACAACTTATATATTCAGTTTCATTGCATTTTGCATTTCTTTAGATTCAGGTTAATTACTGTAGTGTCTTTTAAAAGTCTGATTCAGTCAACAATCAAAAAGAAGAGTAAGACTTAGGTGTGTGGGAGCTAGTGAGGGTGCAGAGTTCAGCTCTTGGTTAGGAGACCTAAGCTGCCCAACAGAATAGACTGTCTTGGCAAAATGAGTAACTCATTTTCCTATGAAGTTCTGACAGAAGGGCTGGGCTCTACATCTTTCAATGTTGATATTTAATGATAACAACTGACCCACAAAAACTTAGACTGATTTTTGGCCTCTCTCAAAGGTGGCTGCCTTCTCTAAGGGCACAGCAAGAGGCAGAAAACAGTTTGCTTAGGAAACTAGGACAGCTTTCCATCTATCCCTAGTCAAGTCTGCACCCTGGTGCTCTCCTGTTTGATATTAAACCTCCCAAAGACTCAGTTGCTCATACTTAGTTATAGATGCAAGACTAAGCCTGGGATCAATGAAATTAAACTAAAGCTACCTCTATTTCTTGACTAATTCAAAGTAAGAATGAATTCACTGTATTGTCAAATTCCAAACATACTGTATGAAAGCTTAGTATTTGTAAACTTTGGTGATTTTTGTCTGGTTCAATTGGACAAAAAGTAGTAATCTTGACTGGTTTTACTCCTAAGTTGATAGACACATGAATCCTTGACATGGCTCTTCTATAGACTGAATTCATTCATTCTTAATTAGGATTTTAGAATGACAGGAATCCTCAGAGCTTATCTAAATCTCTCCTTTATCTGATAATGAGGCCCAGGAAAATAGTGGAACTTAACCCTAGTTCTCACCACAACAAGGGGCAGTGTCCCTTCCAGGACTACTCACTGTATCCAGGCAGCTGCTCAGGGTGGTGGGTGGCCAGCCAGTTGAGTGAGTAGGTCTGTTGGTATCCCTTACAGTTCCACCTAAGCTTCAGATGGACACAGCCCCAATGCACAGTTTGACTGCAACTTCATGGGAGATGCAGGTTGGAAATGTCCAGCTAAGTGGCTCCCAGATTCCTGACCCTTAGAAATTGGGCAAGATGTTGTTTTACTTACTTATTCCTACATAAAGTTAAAACATTCAGAGCTAAGACTAGCATATTTTTCTTAAATACTTGAAGGGCACACATAGTTTAGGGCGAAGAACAGAGAAGGTGGTAAAGGGTGCTGTCCAGTAGAGAGGCTAATGCATCAGAGCTCTGTGCTGACAGGCACAAATGGTAAGCTATCTGGACTTCTTAAATAGGAAGATGAAAGGATCTCAGACACAGCAGGCCAGGTGGCCACCTCTAACATATATGTATTCCAACAAAGAACCCAAGTCTTGCTTATAATTTTGGTAGGCAGATCAGCAGGCTAGCCACAGGTTAGGAAGACTTGACTTTGCTGAGTCACTTTCTACATTGGTGCAGTATTGCCTTCTTTACCTTTCCTTTTCAATAACCAATTCATATTCTGGGACAGCCTCCAGAGAGGCTGTCATTAAAGTGGACCTGTTGTTAGACCTATTACTAACAGGAATCCAACTGTTGGTGAAATCATCCTTAGATGAATTCCAATGACCACTTACCCCCAAACCAAATGGATACTCTCAAAATGTTACATACAATCAAAAGTTATTATTAGAGATCTCTCAGTGATGGAATCCATTTCATTACTTCCTTATCTGTATTAAAGCCAGCAAATGACACAAGTAGAACCAGAAGGAAAATGGCACAGGATGTGAGAAACTGTAGGAAATGCTGGTAAAGTTGCAGACACCTTCAGAGAAGAGCCTCCTTTTAACCATTCTGCAAAATACACTTCTCTGCTCCACCCAGAGCTGATGAGTTTGCTAAAACTCTGGGTGATTCAGGAAGCTGATTATTTCTTGCTTTATGCCAGCCAAAGGCCAACTGCTCTGTTCTTTATATTCCTGAATCCTGAGCCCTCAAATAACTGACTTATGAAGTTAACAATGTCAGAATTCTAAGTTGTATTTCTTTTTCCCAGATATTGTTTGTTGGCAAAATGGTTTTTTTCCCTTGTGTCCTCTCAGAGAATACCAGATAACGAAGTTTATTTTCCAAGGATTTAACCATCAAGAAAAGGAGGTTTTCTCATGGTTTGCTGAATGATAGATTTTCTTGCCAATGGCTAAACATTCAGATAACCAAAAACCAAATTTTACAAAACAGGATATATTACTGATTCTTTCTGATGGTTTGAGACTCCGCCTCCTGAGACTTTATATTCGATCCATTTGGTTCCAGGCACATCTAAAATGATTCAGTTCAATATAAGTAGCTGTTGAGCATTACAGTCAGTTCTGAGATAACCATTTGGGGGGAAATCCTTAAAACTACATGACTGGCTCTGGTTTTAGACTTTTGCAGACAATGAGGAAACAGAACTTCTGTTGAATTATGTGTCAAATCATGGATGGATATGAGGAAAAAGCAAAGTTAAAGCCCGGGGACTTCATTCATTCTCTTGTGGGCGATGAATCGGGGGCAGGAGGAGACCACCTTTCTTACGCAAAAGAGCAATCTCTTCCTTTAAGGCCTGAATCCTTTCGGCTTGGACTTGGATCAGTTCAGTGACCCTTTCTCTTGCCTCAGTATCTGCTTTCCGAGGGCCCTGGAAGGCATTGCCCTGTTGAGAGAAAACAACTCCCTGCTTTAAGCATCATTTGGAATATGGAAAATTCTCTGTCTTCATTGCTCTATTAGGTGTGCCTGCCTTGCAGTCAATCTAAAATAGCCACCGCTCTTTAAGAACCCTTTAGTTCTTCCTCTGAAATCCCACCATTGGAAATGTGTCCCTTTGTGCTAATAAGCAACTCTTACATGCAAAAATCCCCTTTAGAGGGTATCTGATTAAGCTAGCTATCAGTCACTCATACCCTACAGGGATCATCACTGGAATTCAAAGGTAAGATATTTCCTTTTCCTATATAGCTCATATCATAAGTAGATTCTCACTAAATCTGAATGCACATTAAAGAAAGAGACATAACACCTCCTATCTTCCCCCTTGCCCACCTTCACTGCAGAGGCTATGAAAGCTAAATACTAACCTTACCCAGTTCCTCTTCCAGCTGGGAGTGGCTCAGTAGATGTAGCAGAAAACATTTGCTTGCTTTCTTGATGAAAGGGACAAGAGGCTGGCATTCGGGCATCAATGAGAGAGCTGAGGCAGCCTCTGTGACTCTGAAGGGAATTTCTACCAGTCACTGAGAGAATCACAGAGATACCGGCCATGACGACATGGCCCAATAAACCCAAACCCCTAATTTGTCTCCTGCAGACTGCTTAAGTGAAGAAAAGCACCCCTATTTGTTTGAGCTACTGTCTTTTGTTACTTATAGCTAAATGCGTGCCCCTCTTTCCCCCCACCCATGCCTAGTCAGTCTAGATGGTCACCCTGAAGTCACCATAGCTTTTCCCTCATTCTCCTTACCATATCCAAACAAATTTTGGCTACTCTTACTTTGAAATGTCTTTGGCCTTGCCATCTACACCCCACTCCATGCCTAGAGTGTTGTAAGAATAATAGTAGTGGAGTCAGCTTGGGAAGCAGACAGACCTCAGTTAAAAAAACAAACTTCTCCACACATTAATTAGCAGGTAGTTGACCACTCTGAGCTTTTGAAGATTTTGAAGATTCAGTGACCTCGCCAATGGAATGAGACCATACCTGTAAAGCTATGAAGTGATACTATGTAAAGAGACCCAGGTAATAATTTTCTTTCCCTGAGCTCCTGGGTCCAAACTCTTTCCTTGCCAAGGTATCTGGATGTTCAAAGCACATCAAGCTGGGGAGAGGAGCTAAGATGGCGGAGGAATAGGATGGGGAGACCACTTTCTCCCCTACAAATTCATCGAATTTGAATGCTGAGTAAACTCCACAAAACAACTTCTGATTGCTAGCAGAGGATATCAGGCGCCCAGAAAAGCAGCCCATTGTCTTCGAAAGGAAGTAGGACAAAATATAAAAGATAAAAAGAGAGACAAAAGAGCTAGGAACAGAGACCCGTCCCGGGAAGGGAGTCGTAATAGAGGAAGTTTCCAAACACCAGGAAACCCTCTCACTGATGGGCCCAGGGGAAGTTTTTGAATCTCGGAGGGCAACCTAACTGGGAGGAAAAATAAAACCCACAGATTACATACCTAAAAGCAACTCCCAGCAGAAAAGTACCCCAGACACTCGCATCTGCCACCAGCAAGTGGGGGTTGAACGGAGAGGAGCGGGCAGCATTGCTTAGAGTAAGGGCCAGGCCTGAATGCCCTGAGGGAAATCAGAGGGAGCTAATGTGAGATAGCAAGTTAAACTGTGGGATAGCAGAGACAGAAAATTAACCGGCGAAAAGCGCTAACCGAACACACTGCCGGCCCATTCACAGAACAAAGGAAGGACTGAGCAATTCCAGAGAAGAGCTAGCTGGCTGTGGACCGGCCCATCCCCCGCGGAGGCAGGAGGCAGGGGGGAGGGGAAAGGGGCAAACTCGACTCCAGAGAAGGCATCCCCTACCAAACTGCAAACAGGCTTCCAGTTTCTAACCAAAGACTTCCTGAGATTCTGGATGGTTGACATCCGCTGGTAGGGTCGCAGCTAGAGACCACCTCCCCAGAATAGACAAGGCGCACTCAACCGTCGCGCGGAAACTGAGGCTGGGACCGCGGAGGGGATAAGGTGCACTGCACCCGGGGAGAGTGCGCCCGTCAAGCTCCTGGCTGCCTGAGCTGCTCGGGCCAGGGAAGGCACAAAACGCAGGCCCAACCGAGTCTGGGCTTTTGTGGAGTACCCCAAAACTGGAACCGCACGCAACTCAGGGCCCACTCCCTGTAGAGCAGCCTGGAGCCTGAGCAGTGTACACGGGGAAAGCACACACGCCGTGAGCGGGGGCAAACCCAGTGTGGCCGGACACTGCGAGTGCTCCCCACACAGGTCAGTGATATTTGCCTGCAGTGCCCCTCCCTCCCCGCAGCACGACTGAACAAGAGAACCTAAACAAGAGACCACCTCTGCCTGCTTGTGTCAGGGCAGAACTTAGACACTGAAGAGACCAGCAAACAGAAGCCAAATAAACAAAGGGAATTGCTTAGGAAGTGACAGGTGCAACAGATTAAAATACCTGTAGTTAACACCGACCACACTGGAAGAGGCCTATAGATATCAAGAAGCATAAGCTGGAACACAGAGCTATCTGAAACTGAACTGAACCCACACTGCCCACAACAGCTCCAGAGAAATTCCTAGATATATTTTTAATTTTTTTTCTTTTTTAAAATTTTTTCTCTTTTATTTTCTTTTAAAATTCCCTATTACTCCTCTATTACGCCTTTTCATTTTCTTTTATTTTCTTTTAAAGTCCTCTATTACTCCTTAATTTTCATTTTCATATATTTTTACTATTTTTTTAATTTAAAAAAATTTTTATTTATTTTATTTTATTTTATTTTAAAGTCCTCTATTACTCCTTAATTTTCATTTTCATATATTTTTACTATTTTTTTAATTTAAAAAAATTTTTATTTATTTTATTTTATTTTATTTTAAAGTCCTCTATTACTCCATAATTTTCATTTTCATTTCACTATAACCTTGCAAAAAAAAGACCCATTTTTAAAGCAAACTTCATATACATTTCTTAAATTTTTTGTGTTTTTGTTTTTAATATTGTATTTTTAAGAGTCTAACCTCTACTCTAGATTTTTAATCTTTGTTTTTCAGTATTTGATATCAATTTTGGACTTTTAAGAATCCAATATTCAGTACCCATTTTTACTCAGGAGTGTGATGATTACTCTCTCCCCCTTTTGACTCTCCTTTTTCTCCCCCAGATGACCTCTATTTCCTCCCTCCCCCTTCTCTTCTCAGTCCAATTCTGTGAATCTCTGTGGGTGTTCTGGGCTACAGAGAACACTCTGGGAACAGACAACTGCATAGATCTGTCTCTCTTCTCTTGAGTCCCCCTTTTTCTCCTCCTGCTCATCTCTATCTCCCTCCTCCCTCTCCTCTTCTTCATGTAACTCTGTGAACCTCTCTGGGTGTCCCTCACTCTGGAGAATCTTCTCACCACTAACCTACAAGTTTTATTATCAGTGCTGTATAGTTGGAGAAGTCTTGAGGCTACTGGAAGAATAAGACTGAAATCCAGAAGCAGGAGACTTAAGCCCAAAACCTGAGAACACCAGAAAACTCCTGACTACAGGGAACAATAAGGAATAAGAGATTATCCAAAAGCCTCCATACCTACACTGAAACCAACCACCACCCAAGAGCCAATAAGTTACAGAGCAAGACATACCACGCAAATTCTCCAGCAACACAGGAACATAGCCCTGAGCGTCAACATACAGGCTGCCCACAGTCACACCTAACACATAGACCCATTTCAGAACCCACTACTGGACACTTCATTGCACTCCAGAGAGAAGAAATCCAGTTCCACACACCAAAACACCGACGCAAGCTTCCCTAACCAAGAAACCTTGACAAGCCAATCGTCCAACCCCACACACTGGGAGAAACCTCCACAATAAAAAGGAACCACAGACCACAAGAATAGAGAAAGGCCCCTCCAAACACAGCAATATAAACATGATGAAAAGGCAGAGAAATACCCAGCAGGTAAAGGAACATGAAAAATGCCCACCAAGCCAAACAAAAGAGGAGGAGATAAGGAATCTACCTGAAAAAGAATTTAGAAAAACAATAATAAAAGTGATCCAAAATCTTGAAAACAAAATGGAGTTACAGATAAATAGCCTGGAGACAAGGATTGAGAAGATACAAGAAATGTTTAACAAGGACCTAGAAGAAACAAAAAAGAGTCAATTAAAAATGAATAATGCAATAAATGAGATCAAAAACACTGTGGAGGGAACCAAGAGTAGAATAACGGAGACAGAAGATAGGATAAGTGAGGTAGAAGATAAAATGGTGGAAATGAATGAAGCAGAGAGGAAAAAAGAAAAAAGAATCAAAAGAAATGAGGACAACCTCAGGGACCTCTGGGACAATGTGAAATGCCCCAAAATTCAAATCATAGGAGTCCCAGAAGAAGAAGACAAAAAGAAAGACCATGAGAAAATAACTTGAGGAGATAATAGCTGAAAACTTCCCTAAAATGGGAAAGGAAACAGTCACACAGATCCAAGAAACCCAGAGAGTGCCAAACAGGATAAACCCAAGGCAAAACACCCCAAGACACATATTAATCAAATTAACAAAGATCAAACACAAAGAACAAATATTAAAAGCAGCAAGGGAGAAACAACAAATAACACACAAAGGGGTTCCCATAAGGAGAACAGCTGATCTATCAATAGAAAGTCTTCAGGCCAGAAGGGAATGGGAGGACATATTTAAAGTAATGAAAGAGAATAACCTACAACCCAGATTACTGTACCCAGCAAGGATCTCATTCAGATATGAAGAATTCAAAAGCTTTACAGACAAGCAAAAGCTGAAATAATTCAGCACCACCAAACCAGCTCTTCAACAAATGATAAAGGATCTTCTCTAGACAGGAAACACAGAAAGGTTGTATAAACACAAACCCAAAACAACAAAGTAAATGGTAACAGGACCATACTTATCAATAATTACCTTAAATGTAAATGGGTTGAATGCCCCAACCAAAAGACAAAGACTGGCTGAATGGATACAAAAACAAGACCCCTATATATGCTGTCTACAAGAGTCCCACCTCAAAACAAGGGACACATACAGAATGAAAATGAAGGGCTGGAAAAAAATATTTCACACAAATGGAGACCAAAAGAAAGCAGGAGTCACAATATTCATATCAGATAAAATAGACATTAAAATAAAGGCTGTGAAAAGAGTCAAACAAAGACACTACATAAAGATCAAAGGATCAATACAAGAAGAAGATATAGCAATTATAAACATATATGCACCCAACATAGGAGCACCACAACATGTAAGGCAAATGCTAACGAGTATGAAAGGGGAAATCAACAATAACACAAAAATAGTGGGAGATTTTAACACCCCACGCACATCTATGGATAGATCAACTAAACAGAAAATTAACAAGGAAACACAAACTTTAAATGACACAATGGACCAGCTAGACCTAATTGATATCTATAGGACATTTCACCCTAAAACAATCAATTTCACCTTTTTCTCAAGTGCACATGGAACCTTCTCCAGAATAGATCACATCCTGGGCCATAAATCTAGCCTTGGTAAATTCAAAACAACTGAAATAATTCCAGTCATCTTTTCTGACCACAATGCACTAAGATTAGATCTCAAGTACAGAAAAAAAAAACATTAAAAATTCAAACATATGGAGGCTAAATAACACGCTTCTCAATAACCAACAAATCATAGAAGAAATCAAAAAAGAAATCAAAATATGCATAGAAATGAATGAAAATGAAAACACAACAACCCAAAACCTATGGGACACTGTAAAAGCAGTGCTAAGGGGAAG